CCCCCCCCCCACCACCAGCATGGACAGCAAATGATCTGTCTATGTGTGTGTGTCTGGCGGTTTGATCAGCCATGAGTTTCTGTGGAGCCATGCCTTCCTGGTGCAGAGCCTGCGGCAGAAACGAGTGGAGATGCGCAGTCGCACACGGGACCAAGTGGTCGTCCACCTGCCAAAACCTGATGACAGCAGCGCCACCGTAAGTAATACAACAAGTGAGGACCCGTCCCGGCTGCATGTATCTCTGCTTGGCTGGGCAGAAATTGCGGGACATGAAGACTGCCGACCTGTCGGACGCCTTTCTCAACCAATGCTCCACCAAAGGTCACAATTGTTACTTGATCGATTCGTGTCGTCATGTGATGGTGATGTCTTCAGTGTCTTCAGTGTCGACTCGACCAGAGGCCGGCAAGACGTTCAGTGATGTGCGTGTTACTCAGCCGGGGGCATCTCACATCGACACACAGCCGGCAGACAGGTCCGCACCCCACACATGAATGGCCATGAAGTGTATCTGTCTGTCTGTTTGTGTATCGTGTTAGCGCTGATGTGTCCCCGGGCATCACACTGCACGACCTGCAGGCCAACTTGTGCCATGTGGTGGACGAACTGGTCAGCAGAGAGCAGCTGTACCAGCCTTCTTTGCGAGCGGCCGCCGATGGCAGTGATTTCGAGAAGGCCGACACCGAGGCATCGATAGACCACCAGCAGCACACTGGCGGCTGGCGGGGGCTCTATGAGGCGTTTCGAAAGGCCAAACGAACGCTCATCGAGAAGGGCAGCCGACCGGTCAGTCAGAGAGAAACCCACGTGTGTCTTCGAGTCTGTGTATACTCATCTGAGCTGTTTGTTCTATTGAATGCAGGAGACCATCCCGGAGGTCATCGCGAGCCTCGCGCCCACCGTGCTGGAGACGCCATGTGGCGATACAGCAGAGGACGTGCCGATGAGTGGTGGGTCGTCGCCCGTCAGCTCGACCCAATCGGGGCAGAGAGACCCCCACACCTCCGCCCTCACGCCCCCCTGTCATACTCTCATGCGTGTCGATTGGCATCGGCTGAGCAGTGATGAGGACAGCGTGGCATTATCTCTGTCAGCCGAGGCCGTCTATGATGCAGTGGCCGCCATGTCGTCATGGTCGTCATCGTCGCGATCGACCAGACCGAAATTCTTCTCGGTCGTCACTACACACACAATCATGAAACGTGCCATGGACATCGATGTATACGTGTCTGTGCGTATGTTGACAGGTCGGTGCTCACTTACCGGTTTGTTTGTATGGTGCGTGCAGCGGCCTTTCTTCATCGTGTGCAGCCGATTGATGATCTATTTGCCAGATGCGTCGTAGTCGACGTGTGTACTGTAGCTAAGTCAGAGGCTACCGTTGTTTGTGGTTTGTGTATGTGTGTGCTGTGAATGAGTGAGTGAGGGCGCATTCCTTTTGTGCCTGTCTGTCGAGGGCAATCGATACACTCGATCTGCCCACGCATACGTAGTGGATCGATCGGGTGTAGTGTACGTTTTATGACTGGCTCGGTCATCTAGAGGACTGACTTAGGTGCATACAGACAGTTGTAGCAGGCAGCTTCCTGGCTTTTGTAGTAAAAGAGGATCGGACGAATGTGGATAGACTTCCGGACGATGCAGACATTCATCTGCCAGTCAACCATGAATGACACTCATGCACACAAGCCACCTAGTCCACACGCTCGACACGAGCACGCACAGACATGAACACGCAGCAGCAACCGAAACACGCACAGACAGTGACAGACAGACAGACAGACAGACATGGATATACGAACGTATAGTACACACGCACCCATCCAACACACGTGTAGGCATGCATCACCTTGCTGACTTACCAATGAGTTCGCGCAGGTCCCTTCGCGCGTTGAGTTTGACGCACAGCATGCGGGCGTTCTTAATCAGACGCATCATGCTGTGCATATTAATATTCTGCACACACGCACATACATCAATAAAAGCACGTGTCCATAACGCGTGTCACCTGGTAAGTGAGACAGAGGCCGTCCAGCAGGCGCTGCCAACAGCCGGGCATTGAAGCCCTGCATAATTGCGTAAGTGACACAGAAATTGGCACAGGTGAGATTCATGCGTCGGTGAGACTGATCTTTGTCCGCATCTGTGTACGTGGGTACGACTTCCCAGAGTGACGACTGCACTCCCCCGCCCTCATCGTCACCCACACCCGTGCTGAACAAACAAACAACTATCACCGACACACACGCACCAATGAGTGCTCACGCGTTGATGTCATCATGTGTCGGCGGTACGTACCTGCTGGGCCTGTGCTTCTTTGGGGGGATGTTCGTGTCGGGCACCAGATCCTAAAACCATAAGGCTGCCTGCACAGACAGAGAAGAGCATGCATGTACAACACACGCATACATCCATCCATGTGTGCGTGAGTGCGTGAGAGCGTGGGTGCCTGTCTGATGGGTCTGTCCAGCCCCCGCGCCGTCCACTCGTGCTGGTCATCAGTCATGCTGGGACAAACAATCCAGGAACGCTGAATACCGCAAACACACACATTTACGTGAATGAATAAACGAGTGAATGAATGGCTGTGTCGTACCCTCGTGGTCATGATCGTCGGTATGCTGCCGCTCCGCGATGGGCGGGGGGAAGGGTTTCAGCGCAATCACTGCACGCCATACACACACACACACGTGCACTGTGCACCGACCGAGAGAGCGTGCGGCGGTGTAAGGGTCTGTACGGACCTTTTTCTGTGGTGGGTTGTTAGGAAGCAGACGCACACGATACGATATACATTCATGGACGTGGGGGGGTGTCCGTGTGCGTAGGTACCTGAGGAAGGTGACGCTTTCGGTAGGGCCTCTCAGCTCGACCGACGCTGCGGTTGAAGCCGTCAAGACTACACAACGTACATGCAAGAAAGATCGATACATACATGTATGTGTGAGTGGGCAGGCATCTATTCACTGACCCGGCGTCCACATCGTTGCAAAACACGGTGGCCACGGCACCAACAGGATAATCCACACACGTACACCCATCCATCGATCCATCGTGCCTCTATGCTGTTCTCATCGACCTACCTGCCATTCCGGGCATTCCGCAGCTGAGAGTCATTTTGGAGGGGACGTGTGCAGCGGGAGGTAGTAGTAGTACTGGCGCAGCCTCTGGCAGATGGGCAGGTCGCTCGCTCGCTCGCTCGCACGCTCCCACGCTCGCAAAGACATGCAGGCTGCAGACACACACTCACTCGATTAATTGAGCACGTGTGCATCAATCTCTCTAAGTGTGCATGTGTGACTACCATGTGTCTGCACTTGAGTCCGCTCATGTCACAACGCAACCCAGCCAGGAAATCAGTCAACAAAGGGGAACCTATAGATACCACACATATCACGTATGAATGTGGGTGGGTGGATGGATGGATGTGTGCATCATGGTGCCCTCTGAGTGAATGCGTACCGATCTTGATGCTCTTCTCGCACCGTTTGCGATCCTTCTCCAGCTTCTCAGCTGCCTTGGCCAGCAGAGCTCGCACCTCTGAACACACATACACACACACAAATACACGCGTACATCCGTATATGCGTACAGTGGTGCTTCTGACCTTTAGCCTGTGAGGTGTGTGCGGCCATGAGCTCATGGATGTCGGGGGAGGGGGGAGGCACAGAAGGCTGCACGCACGGACGCACAACCATGAATGTGTTTTGTGCGCATAGAAAGATGGATGCTTGCCCCTGTGCGGCCTCGTCAAGCAAAGACTGTTATTCAGATAGAGACATGTACAGAGAGAGGTGAGGTGAGAGACGCATACACTAGTCCTGTTGGTGCGGGAGCAATGCAATTACACCCATCCACCCCCTCACCTCGTCGTGTTTCTTCCTCTTGCCGGCCGTGCTGGGGGCCGGCAGGCAAAAGTAATGTACAAATGCAGATGGATGCTGCAGGTGTGGCTGAATGGTCGATGTGTACACGTACCGTTTGTCGTTTGCGGCCGGGCGGGCTGTTGTTGTCTTGCTTGCGGGGTGCTGAGTTCGTCGTCGCCCTACTCGCCCTACCGGTGTCCAAGTATTCATATGTGTATGCAGATGGATGGATGGATGGATGGACTCACCTTTGCAAATGCGGATGGCGGAGCCATTGGGGAGCGATTCTGTGAACATACAGGTAAGGTGCCTGTGCATGCGTATTGTATAGGCAGGCATGAGACCTCCGTCCACTCAGCCTCACACCCAACATGGTGGTTGTCGTGATCATGATCCTGGTCGTCATTCCCGCTGCAGCACACAGGCAGACACGCAGACAAGCACACACACATGGATGGATTTGCTCCACGTGTAATACGTGTTGTGTGGGCACGTGCGCACCTGGGTGAACATCCATCTCATTCAGCACGGCGAAGGCGTTCTCGGTCGACCTGTATACGCACACATACAGACACACGTGTATGCATCCCCTCGACGGTCCGTTCGTCCGTCCATACCTCTCTCTGCTGGGGCACAAGGAGGTGGTGTTGAAGGAGGGGGTCAGGACGGACCTGGTGATCCGTGGTGTGTGGGACCGCCAGAGGGATGCATCATTCGACGTGTGCGTCACTGACGCTGATGCTCCCTCATACGGTACTCGCCCCACGCGATCCATCCTGGCGACGCACGAGCGCAGGAAGAAGAACAAGCATGTGCGCGTCTGCGAGGATCTGTCCATGACCTTCACTCCTCTGGTCGTCACCGTCGATGGGGTGTGGGGGAGGGAGGCAGAGCACTTCTTCACCCGCTTCACTGAGCAGCTGTTGGCGAGGCAGGGGTAGTCAGATAGGGGGCGTGGGCGGGTGCATGGGTGGTTGTGTGCTCGTTAGTCTGTTGCATTGGTGCGGGCTGCTAGCCTGTGTTTGAGGGGCGGGAGGCAGTCATGGCGTAGTGTTGGGGCGATGGATGGGGCTGGGGTGTTCTCATCGGATGAGTGAGCGAGATCTTTGTGCATAGGCGTATGTGGATACATTCATGTGGACGATTTGTGGACAAGCGAGTGCATGGATGCGATCGGTCAATCTTTCTCACCGAAAAAAAAACTTCACCCCTCTGTCGTCACGGTGGATGCGGGTCTTCTGTGGCCTGGCTGCCGGGGCCCCCCTGGCCCCCTGATGACGTGTGGTGGGAGGTGGGGGACCGTCGATTTGGGGTGGGCCGCGAAGAGACGTCGCCGGCGCCGCGAGACACACCACGAGGGAGAGCCCTGTTGCGGCCTATGGGTGGGAGGTAGTCAGCGCAACAAAGAGGGAATAAACACGCTTGTGGTGAGCAAGCCATCCCACGTACCTTGGAGTGAGTTGATGCGCGACCGGCTTCGTGCCATGGAGTGCCTGCTCGCCGGCATCGCACTGGGAGGCACGGGCGAGTTGCCGCTCCCAGGAGGCATGTTGGCCAGCTGCATCAGGTGCAGTTGGCTCTCCAACATGCCGATCACGCTGTTCTGCCGGACGGCCATGGGCGTCCCCTCACTCGACGGCCGCTGCTGCTGTGGCATGTCCCGCGAGGGCGGGATGGGGCTCACAGAGGGAGGGGGTGGGGTGGATGGCCGTCTCAGGGCGGGAGATCTGTCGAACTCTTGGTCCACTTGCCGCACTTCGACAGGGTGCTGCACTTCGACATCCCCGCATTTGCCTCGAAGATCGACCGTTTCGTCGACTCATTCATTGTCCTATACGACTACGCGCCGCCCAAGCTGCACGCGTACACACACATGCCTCTCGACATGGTTAGGTTTGGCCCGTTGCGTGAGCAATGGTGCTATCCAAGTGAGATGATGCATCAGACAGTCAAGGGATGGGTAAAGACAGGCATCTGGAAGGAGCTAGGGGCCAACACTCTGCGTTCGTCTCTGCACAGCTTTTTCTACTCTCTGTCAACCTGCAGTGAGGACTTCCAGGGCCTGCCGGCCTCTGTGGTGTGCCCTCCACTTCTGCGTGAGAGAGAGTGTGCTGGTGTGGATGTGGCGGCAGGGAGGATGCTGCGTTTGTGTGAGGATGTGGCTCATGTGCTGCTGATCGATAAGGTGCACTGGGAGGAGGGCAGAAAGATCGGGGTGACTGGCATGTGAGATGTGGTGGATACACTGGGTGCCTGTCGTGTTCTGTCGTTGATGGCTATCTGTCGTTTGAGTCAGTGGTAATGCTGTCTGCCGTGCCGTACATGTTCGTCCCCCTCAACCAGAAGGACACTTTCTTTCTTGTCGATAGATAAGTCAGTGTCCATCAGTCAGTGTCTGCCCGTCTGTCTGTCTGCCTGTCTGTCTGCGTGCCTGGGTGGGTGGGTGGGTGGGTGGATGGGTGTGTGTGTGTGTGTGTGTGTGTTGGTTGAGCTGCGTAGAGTAGTGCGGGATGGCATTTTGATATCGCATATCTCTCTCTGGTCTGCCGCCCGCGTGTGTGTGTTGTGAATAGCCGTCTCGTGTACATATTACATCGGAATCGACTCAGCGTCGTCACGTAAGTGCATGTGCGTGTCAGATCTGCACAAAGCCGGTCTCCACACAGGCAAAACCGGTCTTCACACAGGCAAAACCGGCCTTGGCGCAGGCAAAACCGGCCTTGGCACAGGCAAAACCGGCCTTGGCACAGGGAAAACCGACTTTGTCCATTGCAAAACCGGTTTTGCCGTAGGCAAAGCTGGTTTTGTCCATTGCAAAGCTGGTGTTGGCACAGACAAAGCTGGTTTTCGCATGTTGGCCCCAGTCTGCGAGCTAAGCGAGCTGGTTTTCGCTTCGAAGGTCGGCTTTCGTGGTTCAGCCCCAGTTTTCGACCACCAACACGCTTGCCTTGTACTTACTGTACGCAGAGCTGACGCGCAGTGTGGGTGTGAGTGGACTCACCGCACGTGGCCTGCAATGGGAAAAATCCGAGGCAACCGAAGATCTGCAAGCTTAGCTCGCAGGAGAGAAAATGGGACTTTGTGCAGATCTGCTGATGAGAGGTGCGTTCGCTCATCGTATCGCATCAGACGCGTCTGCAGATGATGAGTGTCGTTCCGCATCCGATCATGATTCTTCCGCCCGTCGTCCTTATTGCCCTCTGCTCGTCGCTCGTGGCGTCTTCGCCCCTCTGGCGAATCCTCCAGCCCACCAATGAGACGGATCCATCGCCTCCCCTCCCTCCGGGCTGGCGTGACTCCAGGCGGCTGAGGCTCCTGCAACGCTCTCGCGTCTTCCGTTCCGCCGATGTGGTGTCCCCGGACACCGATGAAATGCTGTACGGTGACAACATCCTCCCCTATACCGAGATGGAGGAGCTCGTGCGGTGTGATGCTTGTCAGGAGGATGCGGCGGCTCTGTTCGATTGGTCTTATGAGGCTGGTTTGGTGGACAACGAGACAAAGTCCGTCTTTGAGGACAACCTATGCGTCGTGTCCTTCATCACGTGTGTGCGGCTGAGTGAGGCGCTGGCGGACGGCGGACCGCGGGAGGGCTACATCATCACTCTGACAGGGTGGCCCGAGGATATGGAGATATCGGATGTGCCGCTGATCCTGCAGCAGCGAGGCTGGAAACCTTTCGTCTTTTCGGATGTGTTCTATAGGCTCCGTCACGTGATTTGCTTCTCAGCCTATCAGCTGCCTATGCAGGGAAGCTTGGGCGATGAGATCGCCAAAGTGACCTCTCTTCGTGCCATCTTCCTGGCAAAAATGGTGGGTTGCATTCAATGCACACATTCATTCACACACATGCTCGTGCGTATGCCTTTTTGCAGGACGGTATGAAGGGGCCCCTTCCAGCTACAATTGGCGAGCTGCCTTATCTGAAGGGGCTGTACCTCTGGAGCATGAATTCAACAACCGGCCCCATCCCGCCCTCCCTCATCAACCTCTCTCGCCTCGAGGCTCTCACTCTCACGAACACAGACCTCTCAGGGCCCATCCCTGAACACATCGGCAGACTTCGGCGCCTTCGCGTTCTGGAGATTTGGGGAAACAATCGGATGGAGGGGCCCTTCCCGGCCAGTGTGACATCTTGCCGCAACCTGACCCGAATAAGGCTCGAGAGCATCGGACTCACTGGCCCTCTACCTGGCGATCTGGGTACCCTGTCCCGCTTGGATGATTTGTGGCTGGCGAACAATTCGCTGAGTGGGGAGCTGCCCCGGTCACTGGTGCAGCTGAGACGGTTGCGAGCACTCGATCTGTCCAACAACAGTTTCAGTGGCCCGTTGCCGGACGGGCTGGGGAGCAAAATGAGCAGCCTATAAATTCTAGATATGTCGCTCAACAATGTAAGAGACTGTTGCGCGGGTACATACAGACACACGGACATCAATGACTGAATCCATACATATAATCTCCCTCTCCATGGATGTCTGTCTGTGTAGTTGTCGGGTCCTCTGCCGATTGAGTTGGGTGGCTGGAAGTCCATGGACTTCCTTGGTCTGGGAAATAACAAGTTTACCGGCCCCATACCAGCAGAGCTGGGACAACTGTCTAAGCTACGAGGACTGTACCTCGGGAACAACAGGGTAGATACCGACGCACACTCATACCGACAGACGGACATCAACGACTGAATCCATGCATATGATCTCCCTCTCCATGTCTGTCTAGTTGTCGGGTCCCGTGCCGATTGAGTTGGGTGGCTGGAAGTCCATGGAGTATCTTGATCTGACAAATAGCAACTTCAGCGGCTCCCTAGAGCCGCTACGTCACCTCACGTTGATGAAGCATCTATTTTTGCGAAACAACAACTTCAGCGGCTCCCTCGAGCCGCTCAGCAACCTGACGACGCCGCTTATAGACCTGGACGTGTCCAACAACTCGGTGAGCTAAAGGGGGGGAAGGCGATGGGATCGGCAAATCTGTGTGTGAGTGTGCATGTGTGTGCTGTGCTTTCGTGTCATGTCAGTTTGAGGGTTACCTGCCCCTCGGTTCCCACAGTTTCTCGAATCTCACCATCATCGCAGCAGCCAACAATCGGTGCACACACAACACCCACGCAAACACTTTTCATATATGCTGCATCGGTCGTCAGACTGACTGCCATGTTGGACCGCCCCTCTGATGGCCCGGCGTACCCGAACGTTCGTTATCTGTACCTCGACTCCAATCGTCTCAACACGTCCATCGACCTGACGTTGTTCCCCAACCTCGAGCAGGCCGACTTCGGGAACAACCGCATCCCGGGTTTCATCGGCAACGGATCCATGCCCAAATCGTAAGCGACATATAGAGAGATGAGGACATAGCGACACAGGTGTTTGCCTGTCAGGTTGATTTGGTTGAGTTTGGCGGACAACCTGCTGACTGCCCTGCCCGAGGGCTTCCGCTCCATGCCGAATCTACTGTCGCTGAATCTCGCCAACAATCGCATCAGCCAGTGGCCCACATGGGGGTCGACACCGCCAGGCTTATGCAGCTGGGGGGAACTCAGTAAGCTCCTGACATCATACCCAGGCGGGCAAGTGGTCGTTTTCTCTGTGTGACGATACGGTAGGCTCGCATATTGTGAAGGATCATGACCCCCCCCCCGACTGGGGCAGCCTAATCTACTTCCACGTCTCCAACAATCCCATCAACACAGACGTGACCGCATTCCTAATGCCCCTCAAATGGCAGAAAAGGTAAGAAAATACACACACGCATGAACACACATACATGACATGGAATGTAACTGTCTGATCTCTTCGTGTGTGGTAGTTTGATGGAGCTGGATGCATCGAACTGCAGCCTTTACGGCCCCATGAGTTGCGAGGCCTTTACCGCATTCGACTTTATGGACCGACACTCATTGGTAACCACACACACGCATCACACGCACACACACACATGCAGAGGATTCTATCTGTGTGCGTGTGTGGTGTGTGCAGGTGACACCTTCAATCTGGTCGTTTCCTAGCTTGGTTTTTTGTCTCTGAGGGACAATCGCATCACGGCCATCGACACGGGCGACGTGCAGCTGGAACTGTACCACGTCGACTTTTCCAACAACTCGCTTGTGAGCGTGGCGAGCGGCGACTGGAGTTTCTTCGACGTCCTGCATGCAAGGTTCACGGAGAACCCAGACTTGAGGCACGACTCGGTAGACCCCATGCCGATTGAGGTGAGAAAAAGGCGGGTTGTGTGCGCTGGAGGGGGTGGCGATGTATCATCCTCTGTGTGTGTGTGTGTTTGTATGTCTATCAGAAGTGTCAGGATTTGCGTCAGAACTTCAACGAGATGAGCATACCGAGACCACTGGTGCCCGATCCACAGGGTGGGTAACACAGCACAGCACACGCAGACATCCACTGCCATCGTGATGACGCCTATGCATGCTTGATGCAGGATATTCGGTGCGTACGTTGGACAACGGCGAGGAGCGTTTCGAGTGCACCGAGTTCTGCTCCCTCTTCAGCAGACTTGAGGTCAGGTGACATAGAGTCAAATACACAGCACGAGTACACGTGCTCACTGTACTCGCTGTGCTTGCTACCGTGCGCTGCTCACACAGGTCGACTATACCTTCAACTCGGATGCCCTGTGTCGGTGCCTTTCCGGCTACGAGGGCATCGGCACCAACTGCACCAAGTGCCCGCCTAACACACACAGCAACAGACAAATCGGCACACGAACATGCGAACAATGTCCCGATGATGCAGGTCACCAGTGAAGCGACCACAACGCGAGACAGCCCTTCTCAGTATATACGTGTGTGTCTGCAGGTTCTGACGAGGGCTCAGCTGCATGCTATTGCCGTCTTGGCCACCAGCGTGGCGATGACCCGTGCGAGCTGTGTACAGAGGGGTCTGTTGGCGTGCAGAAGCGCGGTAACAACGGCAGCCGCGCCACGTTGACCTGCCGGGACTGTCTGCCGGGATTGGACTGCTCCATTCCCGTCAACTACAATGCGAATGTGCTGCCGGGCTTCTTCCAACTTACTGTCCAGCTGCAATCTGAGAATTCATCTCACAACGCCACACGAGAAGTGACGACGTAAGAACGAAAGGCAAGAAAGGCGAGTGCTGAGCAGGCAAGTGAGTGGGATTTTGGTGTCTCTTAGATATGGCGCTAGATTGACTCTGTTGCCGATAGTGGTACCGTGTCCATTGCGGTCGGCCTGCTTAGGCACCAACAAGACGAATGGACTCAACATATGCTCGGTAAGAGCCAATTGCATCATTGTGACAGCCGCCATCTTTATATTCTTGCCTTGTCTGCGTGTCAGGAAGGGCATGAGGGATTCGTGTGCAACCGGTGCAAGGCGAGTTTCTCGCGGCAGACGCCCCCTTGGCCCTGCAAACCATGTGCCGCACTGTGGCGGATTCTCCTGGTCAATGTGATTTTCGTTGTCGCAACTCTGATTGCCGTCTTCGTCCTCACAGCACTCGCGGAAAGGTTAGCACTCATGTATGTGTCTATCGCACAAACGCGTCCATTCGCATCTGTGCCTGTGTTGTGTGTTCAGGGCTGCTTCCTCCCCCCGTGCTGAAGTGCCGTCGCAATTAATAAAAATTGGGCTCTACCACATCACAGCCGTACGTGAAGGAATGGACAGGCACATGCGCTCACCTTTCATCACAACCTCTTTGCTGTGACGGTGTGTGTGCAGGTGTGTGGTCTGGCCTTTGTCGTGTTCGACGACTCCCCCTGGGGCGACCCAGATATCGTCGCTGATTGGGTCGTTCTTTGCGTGGGACGGCGGGGTGCCTGAGTCGTATCAGGTGTGGGAGTGTCTGCTGAGGCGCTATGTGGGCGAGAGATGCGTGCTCTATCGACATGCTTTGTGGCTGGGGCTGCCGCTCGTCTGGCTTACCGTTGTGCCACTCATTGGTGAGGACACACAGTCTGGAAGGAGGTGCTTTGTGGTCATTTTGCCCCGGTTCATGACTGCAGCAAGTGCGTTTGACACAGTGCGTGGTGCATTTAAGTTGAGACGGCGCAGGAGCAGCGACCGTTCGACCTCATGTGCCACTGACACCTATCTGCGAGCCCCCTCAGCGCCCCCAGCCTTGAGCAGTAGCAGGGCAGAGCAGCCTAGCGCACATGACCCTCACCAGCGACCGGTCAGCTTCCAGAATTCACAAACGGAATCGATGGCATCGCCGTCATGTCAACACACCTCAGCAGAGCACCGCAAGTGGTGTAGATGGCGGCATTGGCTTGGCAACAGGAGCAGTATGATGGTCGTCATCATCTTGTTCATATATCCCACGGTGATTAGGAGCATGCTGGCCCTACTGCGCTGCCGGCCCTACAGGGGCCCTATGTGGACCCTGTCATCCCTGTCCCGCCAGGCGAGAGCGTCGGTCTGCTCCCCAGCGACCCGGCGGATAACCCGCGGCCGAGAATGGACCTCGACTCGAAAGTCATTTGCTGGTCTGCCGAGCATGCGCCCTTCATGTGGATAGCCGCGGCTGGTCTGCTCGTGTGGACGTTTGGCGCAGTCGTGTGTGGCGTGGTCTATTTGTGGTGGCACAGAGATGGCCTGCAGGAGCAGCAAACGCGCAGACGGGTGGGCTTCCTCTATGTGGGCTATCGAAAGCCGTTCTTCTACTAGGATGCCGTGCTGGCCATGAGGCGTGTATTGGTGCTGCTGATTGCACAGCAGGCGACAGCGCAGCCCCGCCAACAGCTGCTTAGCTGGACGGCGGTCGCCTGTGTGTGCCTGGCGCTGCAATTCGCCGTGTGGCCGTTCGACCGCGCCAATATGGACATTCTGAATCGCACGGAGCTTCGGGGGTTGCTGGTGTGGCTGATGTCGTTATTTGCTATCCATTTTCTAGTCGTGTTGGCGGACGGGGGCTCTTCCATCCTGACGATCGTGTTGGTTCTGGTGGTGATTACTGCCAATCTGGCGCATTACGTCACAGCTGTGGCAGAGGTATGTCGCTTTCGGCTGCTGCAGATGAGTTACAGATGCACGGCCGTCTCCGACCGCATGCAATCTCATCCCAAAAACAACTCAAATCGTCACTCCCGCCGCTTTTGATGTCTCACACTGAGAGGACGACGGTATAGATGCCCTCTGTGCCAAAACGAGGCGATGAACGAATGTTTCCTTGGCGAAAGAGACACATTTAATGATCATGTATGTGTCATATAGGCGGGTCAAACGCTTCAGTGAATCAGCTGTGTACCGGCTCGCTTAAGCGAAAATTACTGTTCTTGGTGTGTACAATGAATGTCTGTGTGCGCACGCCTGCGCAAGCCTATAGTTGGTTGGCGTGTGCAAAGAAAACCTCAGGTGCAGGAAGAAGGCAATCCGCAATACACACATCCAGGCATGCAGAACCAAATAGCGATGGCCAAGGCTGAGAGACAGACTTAAGGATAGACTGACGACTTCCATACAGACGCTTCCGAATACAGAAGAGGCCCCAAGCGAGACGAAAGCATAAGCTCAAAACAGCCAAACTCCAAGGGCGGCAAGCCCATAACTTTTTTGGTACACAGGGACGAACGATAGGGGGAGCACGATACAGCTGCATTTTCCTTCTCGAGATCTAGAGGTGCAGCGATGGGAGGTGGCAAGGCACAAAGTCAGCCTAAGTTCGTAGGGTGCAGGCCCAGGACCCAATGGCACAGAGGGATGAATGCTTGAGAGTGTAATACGACTCTACCTTCTTTCAGGGGAGCGGAGAAGGGGAGCGGGGGGGGTTGTGGAGAAGAGGTGTAATGAATGAATGAATGAACGAGGTCTCGGGATGACCCTATAGCCCTCTGGCGTAGTATTCATGGTCATACACATTTACACATAGAAGTATGCCATATTCATCATCCCTTGCTGAATACTCCAGCGCACATGTTGTCCTTACTCAATGCAAACACTTTCATAGGACTGCACCGGGACCATTTCTCGGATTTGCTGAGCCCGCAATTGTAAGGAAAGCGAGGATTCGGGTCGTCTGGAGGTCGAATTACGATCGCTCAAAGACTCAAACTTAGGGCGTGACGAGAAACCGCCGTGAGCGCTCAGACACAGATGGCATGACATGTGTATGTGTTTCTTTTTTGGTTGGTCATGCGGCTATGCAGGTCAGTTGAAGGAGGAGTTTGTGCACGAGCATCGCGAGAACTCGGCCTCCTTCAACATGGGCGGCGGCTACACCAACCGATTCTACACGGCCAAGCTGCAGGGAGCCACCATGGGCGGGGCCTTCCACAATGTGCGGGCCAACGGTTGCGCCAAGCGGTTCCTGCGCTGCTTCCGGCGGGGCTTCAGACATGACGGCAGCCATGAGAACACTGACCTGGGCATCGCCGAGCTGCCTGCCATGCTGGAGTTCACATACGGGCGTGACAACGGGTTTGATTTCTATTACATGGACAAGCACAAGCTGCACCGACTCGACAACTACAGTGAGTGACCGGTAGTGATGATCGCTTGAGGGCTCTTGTATGTTGTATTGTGTGAATCGATGCATGGATGCAGATGCGTTTCACACGGTGTCCAACCACACGCGAGGTTCCTCTGGCAGAGGACGCAGCACGGTGCAGTTCCCAATCGAGGACATGGCCCCTGAACTGGTCAGTCAGCCAAACACGAAACACACACGCAGCAATGCATGGATGTCTCTCTGTGTGTGTGTGTGTGTGTGTGTGCAGGATGACCATCTTGTGCCGACAGCCGATGAGGTTGCTCAGGTCAAGGAGCGGCTGCGCCGAGTGTCGCCCAAGAGCGCTGAGATCTTTGAGAGCTTTGGGGGCGATTACGACGCGATGACCAGGATGCCCATCGATGAGGCCTGCAAATATCATGACAACAGCCGATGAATACCTCAACAGGTACGACACACCGATCAGCCACACGCACGCACGGGAATTTATCTCGTGTGTGTGTGTGTGTGTGTGTGTGTAGGGTGCCGATGGAGTGGTTGACGCCCGACGGCAGCATCCAGGCCAGCCGCCTGACGACGGCACCAGCCAAGTTCTAGCCATACATACACATCTACAGACATACACAAAGATGCATGTGTTGGATGTCAGGCGTGAGAATGCGAGCCTTTTTTCATCCTCCGCACGCACTGTTGGAGTTTCTGACACTCCTTTCTTCGATGTTCGATAGACACAGCTGTCAGTAAGGCGGTTCCATCAGAACAGGCCATGTGGTCAATCGGTGTGTCGTCACGTGTGTATCAGCTAGGGCAGTGTGAGAGAGCAGACGTTTTCGCCTGCTGCCTTTCTCTCCGTGTGTTGTGGTCGAGACATACATGACATGTCATGTCATGTTACGTGAGGCTGGCTTTCTTCCATTACAAGCAGGTGCGTGTAGTGCAGGGCGGGGGCAGAGAGTGCTTCTTCACACCCTTGTTCCGTGTGAATGTTGTCGCGTGTCAGTGCGTGCGACACACATGCACATCTGCCAGCCAGAGGACACATACAAGGACGCATGCATGAATGCATATTGACCTGCGTGCATTTATCGGATTGATGAAAGTCATCCATCAGCAGAGAGCACGCTCAGCTGCTCATAAAAGACGACCATTCAGGCACAAATGCCTCGAGACTAGACGCTCCGCCTTCCCTGTGAACAGACACTCACACAGGGCTTCCCCAGCCAGATACCTATCTGGTAGGCAGACCGTCACCATGAAGGAAAGGCAGCAAGACAAGGCCGAGCTACTTCGTGCAGCACCAGCCTGCCATGGCTCCCGCCATACACACACAGACCAGCACACCGCCAGCACCAATCCAACAGACAGACAGGCGCGCACATCCCCTATCCGCCCGCCCCTAGGTCGTCAACAACTGCTGCGTGCTTGTCTCCTCGTTCTCTTATTGGCATTTCAGGCTCTCTGAGCTGGCTATCGTCCGATACTCTCAAGAGGCTCATACGGCAGGAAGGTCCTGCTCGCGATTGGAGTAGAGCGTCCACGGCAAACTTTTGCATTTTCCAAGCATCGGAAAATGGAACGTATATCTCACCACTCATGTGAAGGGAGGGATCCACCTCCAACTGAACGAAGGTGCACAGCAGGGATAGCATGAGACCAACATCTGTTCGCCAACGTACGTACCTCTGTGATTGATGCATATGTGACGCCCCATCGCGGGAACTGCACGCCAGGCACGAGGCAACGTGTTAGGTTACACACATTGCAGTTGTGGGCCACGAGCAGCACTGTGTCATCCGGGTGGGCAGCTAGGATGGCCCTCATCACCTACAGGCAAAGAATGGATACAATCGGAGACCACACAGATATACGTCTGCTCGCTCTCTCGTGCATGCCCACCTTCTGGCACCGCTCGTAGAAGGCTTCATCCTGAACATATATACGACGTTATGCGCAAATACGAATGATTGCACATCATCACTACCCGTGGCTGCACTGCTGACCCACCTTACCGTTTCTGGGAATGCGGGGACGCCCGTCTTGGCTTTCTGCTGAGGATCGATAAGCGGCAGGGTCTTGATAAGCTGCGATGGTGCCAACATCTTGGGCATGGGATCACCGCCACACCGCTCAGCAGCTGACCTGAAAACGTTTGATGCAATGCAAACAGACGGGTCGGAATACAGGCCATGATTGACGTGTCGTTCCCACCGTTCTGTTCTCTACGTACCTTTGTGCGAGTCCCGGTTCGATGCAGACGCGCGCTGTGCCGCCCAGAGCTGTGGCCGCGCTGTGCGCAGTGCACACGCAACGGATGTAGGGAGAGCTGTAGATCACAGAGATACCTGCAGCAATATATGAGAAAAGCAAGAATGCCTGCTTCATGCCTGTATATGCATACACACACGTCTTCCTTACCCTTCCCCCGCAGCGCCATTCCCATTTCGTAGGCCTACACCAAGCACACACACAGACAGGGAGAGCGACGTTGCCCTGAGAGCCATCCGCCTCTTGTTCATTTCACGCAGTACCTGTCGGTGGCCGCGTGCAGTGAGCAAGATATCTTCGGGCACAGCTGCCGTCTTGTCCCACGTCGGCTCGACGTGGTCGATGCGCTCGCCGTGACGACAGAGGAAAAGGCGAGGCATGGTCCAACCCAATGCCAGGTTCAGGGGATGCACTCACATCCAGTATCCACAAACGAGCGCCAACGGCCACGATTCGGAAGCCAAGCTCGCAGGAGAAGCGCTTTTTCTTCAGTGGCAAAAAACAAGGGGGCGTTCCAGGGGCATACATGTGTCAGAAGACCGCTTAGAGGGGAGGAAGGAGGGGGAGACGGTTCAGAATATTAATACAACGCAACCGGAGGTGTATTTCTATTTCTGCCCTCCCTTGGCAAAGGGGGGGAACAACTCTTCAACAAATACCGCAATGGCGCGACGAGTCCGTCAAGCACGCAAAATAATAACTGGACTAAGTGTCCCTTGAATTCGATCACTGCGGACATGCCAAGTACAAGCCTCTGCTCAACAACCCACTCACTGCACCATCATTCATCCATCTTTCACATGTAAAGTGCACAATAGTGATGCCCTGACGGATGTGGCCGTCAGCGCACAGGGCGCAGAAGTCAAACGACGACGCACAAAGGGCGGGATAGTCGGCACGGTGTAGAGCAGAGCTGTCGGGTTGGTGGGTGTGGTGGTGCACGTGACGCTCGGCAATGGTGGGTGCGGCAGTGATGCCCCGAGGGACGTGGCCATCAGCGCACGGGGCGCAGAGATCAAACGACGACCTTGGTAAAGGCCCTCCCTCCTTTATTTCTTCTACATATGGCGATGCGTCGCTATACCCTCATCGCCAGCCTGCTGCTCGCTGCTTCAGGTGTGTGCAAGGATAACTGCACGCGCCATCACCGCCTTCTCTCTGTGTACATGTCTGACAGTGTTGCTGAGCAAGCCCCAGCAACAACAAGAGGGAGAAGAGCCAAAGACAGCCGCTGGTGTGCTCGAGGTCATCGACAGCATTCGAAGGCTCAGCAAGTTCGCCTCCCTTCTCCGGTCGCCTGATGAGGCGAGGCTGGCCAACGGACCCCAGCAGCAGCCAACACAAGACGACGGAAAGAGCAATGCAGACATCGGGCCATCTGCTGCTGCTGCTGCTGCTGCTGAGGTGACGACTGCCCCTCCGGCAGGGATGATGGTGAGAGCGATATGGAGATCATTACACAAGCCGACCAGCCGATCAGTAATGATGTGGCCTTGCCGAAGCCCAAGAAAGGGGAGGGCAGGGGCAAGACACCTAAGTAGGGCCCTGCCGCCCTCACCTGGGCTTGGAGGCCCGCCCCCCGCAGCAGCAGACAAGCCGAAGAGCACCCTTATCAGCCAGCGGACCAGGATCAGCCAGAAGAGCAGCCTACTGCTGGCCACGATGACCCAGCGCCTCCAGTGCCAACAGAAGGTGATGACATGAGTGACAGCACGCAAGGCGCTGTGACTGCGCCAAAAGGTGGCAAGGGCAAGCGGCAAGAGAGATGGCAAGAAGGCCAAAGCGCCGACCAAGCCCAGGCAAGTGGGGCCGCAAAAGAAGGACTCTGGTGGGTCAAGGAGTGGCCCGAAGCGCAAGCACGGGCCTCCTAAGAAAGAGAGGGACACCCTAAAATGAGCTTGCTCGCCTCAATGCATGGTACTGACAGCAACACAAGAAGACATTGTTTTCTGAGCGTCAGATGGCGGCTGTGCTGCTGTGTGTGTGGTGTGCAGGAGCGGTCAAGAGGCGCACTAACAGGGTAATAGCACATGCCGCTCGAAAGCTCGTCGACATGTGCAAGACCACGGCCACAACCTCCATGGCCTCTTGCGCACCCATGTTGAAGCACAGAGGTACCCACCCACACACACGCGCGCAGAGAAACACGTGTTCGGCCCTCCCTACTTATATGTATTTGTCTCTGGGAAGAGACAACTATTCTGCTATGGCACGCAAGACGATAGCATGCGTCATGTGGAGATGTTACACCGACTGCGACCGTGACGCCCTAGTGATTCCGTTGAGTGAGAGCGTCCTGGCTCGTCTCATCTCATAATGGTGGTCGTGCTCTGCTGCCGCCCCCTCCTCTCCCAGGACATGCGGACATGCGTCTTGGACGTTTGTACGGCCTGGTCGATGGGTCACAGCCATTGCGGCCGCCGCCGACACACACAACACACAACATGCCGCAGACAAGACGATGATAGTGATCATGATGGAATGTGCGCCAAACACCATCGTCAGATAGAATGAAGGATTGGAGGAGCGATTTGTTTGTACATGCATGGCGCGTTTGTACGTACATGCGTGTGTGCGATTGAAGAGAGTCCACCGATAGATATAAAAAGTAGACAGCGATACAGGCACCTGTCGACAGCTAAAGCTGAGACATAGGACACCGAGAACTTGTGTTGACCGTAACATTCGTCTCTGTGTCCGTATCACTCATGAATTCGGTCCCAGGAACACTCAGTTAGGGGGAGGAGAAATCGATCTCCACCCCATCAGCACATCCCAGCCCCCCAAACGCGCCCTCCCTCCCCCACGCAGACAGTAGCTAGTGGTACGCAAAAGAGCAATGGACAGGCGCGAGCGAATCCATTCAGACACATAACTGAACCCCCGACCCCTCTATCCCTCTTTCTCCATCAGCGCACGGGCCATGTGGGTGATGAATATGTTGGCTTTATATGCCCACACACCGTCACGTCACCACCAGAGGGCAGAAGGACATGCGGAGAGCAATAAGCTTTATCATCGTTGTTCCTGGGTTGTTGCTGGATGGTTGATGATTTACTTGTTGCTGTGAGGGGCGGCGGTTCTCATTCCGGGCCGCTTACTTTTGGCAATCGGCAAGAAGTTCGATAAGATCGAGCACCCTGAGGAACGGCCTCAATTCTCCATCGTAAGACACATGCAGCTTCTACCTCATTTGCTACCTGTCATTACCGTGATGATCTATCTTCCATTCATGCAGCACTTCAAGAAGAGCTGTGCATGTCCTTTTAATGCAGACCATACAATTTCTTTTAAAAAGATGATAGATTGACCAATCGCATCCATGCATTCGCTTGTCCACACATCGTCCCCATGAATCTATCCACATATGCCTATGCACAAACTCTCATTCGATGAGAACACCCCAGCCCCATCCATCGCCCCAACACCACGCCATGACTGCCTCCCGCCTCTCAAACACAGGCTAGCAGCCCACACCAATGCAACAGACAGACGAGCACGCAGCCACCCATGCACCCGCCCACACCTCCTATCCGACCACCCCTGCCTCGTCAACAGCTGCTCAGTCAAGCGCGTGAACAAGTGCTCAGCCTCCCTCCCCCACACCCCATCGACGGTGCCGACCAGAGGGGTGAAGGTCATGGACAGATCCTCGCAAACGCGCACGTGCTTGTTCTTCTTTCTGCACTCGTGCGTCGCCAGGATGGATTGTATGGGGCGGGTACCGTATGAGGGAGCATCAGCGTCGGTGACGCATACGTCGAACGATACATCTCTCTGGCGGTCCCACACATCACGGATCACCAGGTCCGTCCTGGCCTCCTCCCTCCCCTGCCCATCCCCCTCCTTCAACACCACCTCCTTGTAGACGCTGTCTGCCCCAAAGGCCATCCTGCTGACGTCGCCAATCACATCCCGCAGCTCGTTGTATCGCTGTATCACCAGCCCGCCCTTCGCGCAGTCCAGGGCATGGGTGAGGGTAAAGGTGCAACCGCACCCTGGGCAGCTGGAGGGGAGGTTGGGTGGGCGGTAGCCGTAGCGAACAGCCAGGCCGTCCCGGAAGGTATCGCCGCTGAGGTCGGTCTGATCGCTGCACGATGGCATGGCGGTAAGCCACGCATGCGTCTTGGCCTCCTGCGCCCGCCGAGCCGCTCGCTGGCATCCTGGAGGAAGGCGGGAGACGCCGTCGGTGAAGCGCTCCTTGGCCTGTGCGTCCGCCCGCCTCTTCCCCTCGTGAATCGCCGTGTGCATATGAAGGCGGTGGATGGACGGGTCGAAGGGCTGTTCTGGGGGGTTGCCGTACTAAATGGCGGCGACGAGCACGTTGGTGCCCTGGATGGACGTCTCGTACGCCTCAGCGACCAGCTCGGTCGGATCGCGCACCCCCGTGCCACCATGCCGCGCCGGCAGCAGCATGATCGTGGCCTCGGTCTTGTCGATGGTCTTGCCACAGAGGCCGGGCAGGTACGTCGTGGCGAGTAGGTGGTGAAGGGGCTTGAAGATCTGCTTCTCCTCGGAGATGACGCGCATGACGAAGTCCCACTCGGCCTGCAGCGACTTGGTCATGATGGCGTGGGCCTGCTGCGGGCGCTTGGTCGCGGTACGTGCGACGTCCTTGATGCACTCCTCCCACCGCTCCACCTTCTGCTGCACATACGCGTGGCGGCCCTCCCTTGTGTCGATGTAGCCGCCCAGGTATCCGCTGCCTGTCGTGATGGTCAGCCCCTCCACCCCCTCAAACACCTCTCGCGCCCTCTCCTCTAACCCCTCCCGCACCACCAAGATGGTCTTGTCCGCGGTGGGAAAGTAGCCGTACGGCGGCCCCCTCTCACCGAGCTTGTCCCACCACTCCCGCGCCCGCTCGAAGGAGCTGCACTTGGACGAGTCGTCTGCGAACCACAGCTGTGGCCCCTGCTCTGCTGGCTCCTTGAGACTGCGGATGAGTGGCAGGGTGCCGGCGGCGTACATCGGCATGGCCATCGGGTCGCCCTGCGTGGTCCCCTCCTGACTCCACAGCGGCTCCTTCTCGCCCCTCAGGTAGAGCGCAGCGTGGCCCTGGTAGGTGTTGAACAGGAACCGGGACGCACGTGGCCACAAGTGCCGGGCATTCCAGAGCGCTGCAGGACGACTGAGGTTGTTGAAGGCGTTCTTCGCGTCCACCCCCAGCACACACTCCGCCTCCCCCTCACCACAATCAAACAGGCCGCTCACGGCATGAATCGCCGCCTCTATGCCCCCCTTCAGGCCCGCACACAGCTGGTCCTCGCCGCACTCTCTCTCCAAGTCGAATGCGGTCTCCATGCTCATCGCCTTGCCCATGATGCGCATGAGGACCTCATGCAAACCATACATACGACCGCCCTTGGAAGAATGAGGATATTCGAGGCGACTCTTGTCCCAAATGTCCGAGCTCTAGTAGAACCAACACGACATCAAACTTTACCGGATCCATACCAGCCTATGCTCCGTATTCATACAAAGAAAACAAATACCCTATCCCGTGGAAGCACCGGTATGTGATTTGAGTCGAGGCATGTATTGATCATTGTGTTATCGGTCTGTCAGCACGTATACTTGGGATGCTTATGAGCCTAGCAACTGGCCGCTTTCTGGGTTTCACCTTGATGAGGCCCTCGAAAAGCGGTACTCCCTGTGAGCACACTTTTACAAAATATCTACCAGGAAAGGAATGGAACGGCGAAAAATACGTCAGACAAGAAGGCCCGAAATACAAAAACATCAAAATATGGGTCGCCGGAGCCCCTGGCGGGGTTGGTTCAGGTCTATTACTGGGCCCCTACCATGACAAGGGCAAGGTATAGCGAGCACCAGCCTTGTGTCTCCATAGTTTATACAAGGCCATTTGCATGACACACACTTTCAATTCTGTTGTATGGCTGCAGACGGGGTGGAATGTGTTTGACGATGACATTGCTTTTTGGTTGACAACGTGGAAATCAGTTGATGGGCTTTCTCGAAGGACAAAAGAAAGGGAGGAAGATATTCTCCCACACAGAATCGCTTTGCTGGCTCTCAACGTTTGCATGTTTCTTGATTACATGTTCTTTTTCGCTATTCCAAGTATAGCAGCAGGCGAGGAGTACTGGGATTGCTGCTGAAGGGTGACTGGTTTAAGTCCTTGTTTACATTCATGAATCAACGATGAAAGGACAGCTCTTCGCTATGGACTAAGACATCGAGGCCTACGGCCAGCTGCACATGCAGCCAATAATATCTGCTCGGTCACTCATGCTTCGATCACTAATTCTTCAACAAGCTACCATGACCTGAGCTGGCATTGCATCGATGAAAGGGACAAGGACCAGAAGTCGTCTATTTTGCAACTCAGAAGATTGGTCGGTTATGGCACGCCATACACACTGACTGCAGGGTGCGTCGATCAGCCAATCCTTACTTCCGTGGCTGCATGAATGCATCCTGCCCTGTCTCTCTCCCTGTTGCCACTGTGTGCCTCTGTGGCTTATTTTGTGGCAATGAATGCATGTAATGCTGTCTGTGAGAGTTGGCTGCGTGTCATGCTGTCGTCTGTGAGACTCACTCGTTCGAAAAAAACTCGGAAGAGAATTGTGTCGCAGGCACATCGCAGTCATCCATTCATGCATAGTGAATGTCTGTGTGCGCACACCTGCGCATGCACGTTTGGACTTGGAGTGTGTCTATATAATGAATGTCTGTGTGCGCATCCTTGCGCATGCACGTGTCGACTTGGAGTGTGCATATGATGAAGTCTCTGTATGTATATAATGAATGTCTGTATGCGCACACCTGCGCATGCACGGGTCGACTTAAAGTGTGGATGTGTAAGGAACGCCTCTGTGCGCACCCCTGCGCATGCACATGCACGTGTCGACTTGGAAAGTGTGTTATGTAATAAATGTCTTTGTGCGCACACCTGCACATGCATGCGTGGACTTAAAGTGTGTGTATGTAGTGAATGTCTGTGTGCGCACTCCTGCGCATGCACGTCTGGACTTGAAGTGTGTACGTATGAGGAATGTCTGTGTGCGCATACCTGCGCATGCACGTGTGGACTTGGAGTGTGTGTATATGATGCATGTTTGTGTGCGCACACCTGCGGATGCACGTGTCGACTTGGAGTGTGTGTACATAGTGAATGTCTCTGTATGTATATGATGAATGTCGGTGTGCGCATACCTGCGCATGCACATTTGGACTAAAAGTCTGTATGTATGTGGACTGTCTATGTTGAGCTGACTGTCATTTGCGTCGTACTCGAGCAGCTTTTCGAAGGCCTCAACACGCCCCCACTGATTGACGCAAGCAGAGGACAAGGCGTGTGGTGATATACTCAGACATACGTACCTGTGCAGCGACATGGATGGCCGCGTATCCAACCTGCAAGAGGCAGGGCAGTGCATGTCTGCGTATTGAATGCCGCCCTTTCCTACCGTCCCTGTTTGTTCAAGAAGCGCGTTGCCCCGCATTTGATACATAAAGTGGATCACATTGGTGTGACCATACATGGCAGCCTGAGTAAATGAGAAATGGCAGCTCGAGTGAATTAGACAATGCAAGCGGCCTTGACGAAGCGGCCTCCACTACCTCGATGAAAGGCGTATTGCGCCACTGAGTTTAATAACACACATCACACTGGCCATGGAAGACAGACCTAATGTTCTTTTCATTCGTACGCTGCTGAACTCCTCGCGTTCGTCGAGCATGGAAGGCCCATGAACCTCCAGCAATTTGGAAACCGCGTACAGATCTCCTTTCTTCACGGCCGCAAAGATGCCTTTCTGCAACGGAAAGGACAGCAAGTACGTTATGGCTCAGCTGTTATCGAATCGCCAATACCGATTCAATCTCAAGAGTGGCTTGGCGGGCCAATGGGGAAGCAGTTGGTGATGAAGGGCCGTCTGCAATGCCACGGGTCAGACGCTCGAGTGCAGCCTGACGGCGGCCACCCACAGGCGACGAGCTTGACCGGCGGCGGAGACCCAGAAAACTCAAGAAAGCTGCGGCCACAGATCCCGATGAGCGACGAGATTCAGACGGAGAACTCGGGTCGTGCTCTTCCATCGCTTCCAGAGCCTTCTCGTCCTCGTTCTCTCTGGCGACATCCAAAGGCGTCTTGCCCTAGATTGCCAGAGGCAAGTGAGCGTACTGATGGGCAGAGAGGTGATACCTGATTGTTCTTGATTTTCCACAGAGACGGCTCCCATTCGAGCAACTGATTGACCACTTCCAGGTAATCTTCTTTCGTCTCCAGGAGGGCGGCGTGCAGTGCCGTGTTCCCCTTCTGCACATAAATGGCAAAGAGACATGGATCACATCCTTGACCAAATGTTCATCTGCCTTGTTTTGTACCTCCGATTGTTTCTTCAAATCCTCTTTGCCACCCTTTCTTGCATGAATGGCTTTTACGACCTCTATATGGCCGAACTGGGCAGCCCCCCAGAATGGAGAAACGCCAGTCTGTCACACATAGACGCATACACACACTCCATACACACACTCCAAGTTCAAACGTACATGCGCAGGTGTGCGCACAGAGACATTCATCATATACACACACTCCAAGTCCAAACGTGTATGCGCAGGTGTGCGCACAGAGACATTCATCACATACACACACTCCAAGTCGACACGTGTATGCACAGGTGTGCGCACAGCATGCGCAGGTGTGCGCACGGAGACATGCATCACATACACACACTCCAAGTCGACACGTGTATGCGCAGGTGTGCGCACACAGACATTAATTATATATACACACTCCAAGTCGACACGTGCATGCACCGGGATGCGCACACATACGTTCATCATATATACACACTCCAAGTCCAAACGTGCATGCGCAGGGGTGCGCACACATACATTTCTCATATACACACACTCCATACACACACTCCAAGTCGACACGCACGCTTCAAGTCG